CTAAAGTACTCTCCCCACAGACGGCGCCAAATGTTTCGGGGTTTTCTGATGTCCTGCGGGAGAGTTACAATTCCGAGACTGGAACCGGACGCCTGTACCTGCAAAATAACGGAGACTCCTGAGAGCTCCGCCTCCAACGGTCAAGTTAGTACCTGATTAAGGAGTAATTAATACGGAAATTAAAGTAATAAGATCTCTCTAGGTGAGAGTGTTTAATGTTGGTAATCTGCTTTGTTAGCGAGATCAGCCGGTTATTAGTGTTCCGTAATGTTTCTGTTCTTCTCTGTTCTTCAGATGAGATTAATTGCTTGATGTTTGCTTGATTTCTTCATCTCCTCTTTAATGAGGATTAATTAAGTATTTATAGTCTTGTTGGCCGGTTTTCCCATTTGGCATGGGTGGACACGTGGCGTGCCTCGATTGGTCCGTAGAGGACGTATCTGAGATTGACACGTGGCAGGCTCCTATTGGCCTACGTGAAGGACACGTGGCGGAACCTGGTTGGTCCACTTGTCAGACGGTGATTGGTGGATAAAAATCCCCTAATCAACAGTTATCTATCTCCATAAAAATAAGCCTTTATCCCATTATAGTTATCCGATGGATTAATTGGCAATCGGATATGATTAAATAATTTATTGTTCCCTTTTATTTGGAAGTAAGGTCTTGACAAGTGTCGTGTTTTATTTGGCCAATTCCATTAGCCTAAAACACATAACCCTTAAAACCATTACAAAAATTACACTCGAGTGAATTTAAACCTAAAGTGAGATTATATAGTGAACCCTTATCGTTTTACTCCAAAAATTACCTAGATCCACAAAAAGTCGTCAATTGGGATGCATTTGTTGAATTGTTTCGTTCAAAAGACATTTTTGCCAATTACTAATTGGGGTGACTTGTCTTAATCAAGGTGCTTCATTATACTTTTATAAGCGAATCCGTTAAAGATCACTAAAATCCCACTTACCAATAAATGACGCTTATGTCTATCACCCAAATTGGAGACCCAATGGAATTGGTTATTTAAGATACGAACAACTGTTCGAACTACGATGGTTTTGATCCGTGAGTGGATTCGAGTCCCGCTATGATCGGTACTTAGTGCAACTTCGGTGCTCAAACCTACCTTATACTAATTATTATATCTCCGGTCATGACATAATTTCATTTTGTGTGAACAACGTACTTCAAAACTAGAATTTATTTATTATACTTATGGTACATTCTTTTATAACCGACACAGTAGTAAGAGCCCATTCTTTAGAACGGAAGAGAAGAAGAGCTCCAGACGTTCGATTCTCTTAACTTAAATTCCAAACCCAATACTGTGCCTTATTTTTCTTTTTTATAGAGTTAACACTCGATATCAAGTTTTATTTCTTGAGTTTGACCATTTTAAAATCCGTCCTTATTCGGGTAAAAATAAGGCGGAGACTCTAAGTATTTCATTAAAAGTCTTATCAAACTCCTAAGTGGAACCTCTATAGGTCATTTTATTGTCCACTAAAAAACCAGGTACCACAATTGGCCAAATCATCTACCTTTTAAAATATTTCGTGTAAGGTCAAGGGACGAGGTTGGTTCTAAACAACTTGTTATTCAATAGCCATCATGATAGTAAATTACTTCCTGCATTTACTATAGTCGTTATTTAATAGTCGTGATAGTAAATTACTCATTACATTTTAAATCGTAACTTTAAGAACACGTCTTTTTTCTATAGTCGAGAATTAAATTGGAGGGAGGAAGGAATTAACTTTGGTCGTCCATTAAATTGGATGAATGATTTTATATTAGACGAAAGATTTTATATTGGACGAAATAGTTAACTTTAGTTGATTATTGAATTTCATGAAAGAGTTCACTTTACAATAATTTCTTGCTCATTTCCCAACCACCTTTTGTGTGTTGACAACTAAATATAATTTAATGCCTTATGTCTAATCTTTTGCTTGACAAGTAAAGACGTCACCGGTCAACTATAAGGCTAAGCCAATCTCATATAATTTTTTTTTACTATGTTTTAGTTCTTAATTTTGAGGCCCTTGTGTGTAACTTCTATTTTCCCTATAAATATGATGGTCTAGTTGATTAGAAGGGTCACCACCAATTCCTTTTCCTTACTGTTCTTTCCTACTACACTACCAAAATGAGTGTTCTCCATCCAAAAACTTGCTTGTATTTTGAATCTATTACAAACCCCGTCTTTGATGTTGATATCAACAACACTTTGTAATTACATTCAACCAAACTATCATACACAACGTTTTTCTTCTTCTTGTAAGTAGTACTTTGAAATGACTGAAGTCCAATTCTCAACAAACTCTTCCACATCTAGACTATCATACACAACATTCTCCAACTTTTCTTTAAACTCCGGGTAATTTTCATAGTTCCCAAGTTTCTTCCCAAATTTGGATAGTACATGCCATATACACAATCTATGGCACGTACCTTGCATCGTTGTTTTCATGGCCTTTCTCATTGCAGGATCTTGATCCGTCAATATATCAATTGGCCTTCCACCCATACACAAAAGCCAAGTGTTTAAAACCCACTCAAAGGTTTCAGTTGTCTCTCGAGATAACAACGCACAAGCTAATAGTATTGATTGCCCGTGGTGGTTAACAACTACAAAGTTAGAAAAGGGTAACTCATACTCATTTGTCATATAGGTCGAGTCAAAATTAAACAAACTACATCACCGAACTCTTCGTAAGCTACCCTACTTCTTGCATCAACCACATAACACCCTAAAGCTTACCATGATAGTATATGCATATGGAAGAACTTTTGATTATAAGCTATCATTTTTGCGAAGTATTCAAACATTGCCACAACATCTCCTTTGGCCAACTTCAACCTCCTTTCCTTTGCCACTTCATGATGCAAATCCTTCACTTAAAAGGACATCTCCCCTACCCCGTTTCTAGACCATGCCATACATTTATATATTTTGTTCACTGGGACTCTAGACTTCTTATCGTTAAAAAGCTGCCTCACAAGATGTTTATTCTTGCTCAAAGCTTCTTTGCGGTTCTAATTATCTTTCTAGACTTTCCTGGTGTAGTAGTGTGTCCATCATGTTTCATATAATAGTCTTCCTAATCTCCCATTGTCCACCTTCAATTACACCAGCATACAATTTCACCGGGCACCCACACTTCTTGGACTTGCATTTGACAATGTCCACTTCCTTATATAAATAAATCAGTAGCCAACTTCGGTCCATTTCACTTCTTACGTTTCCTAGGTTGGCCAAAACATTCACAAGTCCACACAATATTACGTCTCTGTTTGCCTACCTTTTGCTTAGCCCCACTTGCCCGAACAAATCCAAACCCTTGCTGCTTAGCATAGACCATCAGTTACTCCTCTATGGACATCAAGGAAGAAAACACCATCCCAACAACAGGAGTTGGGATGGCCATTTCATCAAACTCCCCACTTACAATTGTTCTCAAGGGAATTGAAAAACCCATTTCTCCAGGCCACCTTACAAAAAATCATAAAAAAGCGGAGCATAACTATACTATAGTAAACTTGGGACATCCAACATTCAATTCCATTCCAATTATGTTCAGAAACAAACCCCAAGTTAAGCAACAGGCCCCCAAGTTAAGCTACTCTAGTTGATCGAATTCTGTCACACATTACAGCTAATCTAAATTTAACAATTCAACAATTGATTAACACATCCATAATTCTCAATTATGTCACACATTACATCTAAAATTCTCTTGCATTCAACAATTAATTTAACAATTGATTCAGACATCTAGAATTCAAGAGATTATAGCATCTATAATTCAAGACGGTTAAACAATTGAAGTATAAACTCTACAACTCTCCAAAATTGAATAATTACTTCAACTATTGAATCAACAATTCACCAATTATTACATTTAACAACACAAAGGAAAATTAGGTAAAACAACACCCAATTAACCTGTTCTTTGAGAACTTCCACATCCTCCTCCATTTGAATTTCTTCTAGTTGTGCATTGAATTCTTCTGCTTCCAATTCATACTCTTCTACTTCCAATTAATCGCCGGGTTCGAGTTCGTCTCCTTCAATTCCATACCATTCTTCTTCATTTGCTTCTTGGTTTACTTGCTTGTAAACCCCAACCTATCCTCTAGACGTGCTTCTTGGTTTACACTTGTTGGCCATTATACTCTTCTTACTCAAAATCTAAGGCTACACCAATTGACAATGCTCAACTATGTCTCCCCGCTTGAGCTTTACCAATAGTGTCGCAAATATTCAATCTAGGGAAACCAATTAACATTTCACACTATTTCATTCTCCAATTCACAATTATTTTGTCTAGTTACTCTAACAATGGAGAAACTTTCTCTGGAAGCTGTAACAATGGAGTCCCGAAAAAAGTTTCTCTGTCATGACAATTCTATGGTCTACTTGTGCTTTGTTTTCGACTGGTTAGGCACATTACCCATGCATCTCACTTATACATTTATACTTCCTTCATGCACAACGTAATATTCTTTTTGGTGTTTAGAGAGCCACAAGGGTGGGTGTGATGAGAATCGATCCCAGGATTTTCCTAGAACCGGAGGGAAGCTCTAACCAACTAAGCTATCCCTCACTCTCATGCACAACATAATATTGAAGCAAATAAACTCAACTAAAACTCTATATAAATATAAGGGCCTGTTCCGTTCACCTTATTTTCACTTATTTCAGGTCTAATAAGTTCAGTTAAGTTAAGATAAGTTCATCTCAGGAAAAATAAGTTCAATTGAGGAAAAACAAGTTCTAATAAGGGTTATCCAAGTTCAAATTACAACTAAAATAAATTTAAATAAGTTCAGACAAGTTCAATAAAGTTTAGATAATTTCAGGTAAATTTAGATAAGTAAAAGTTAGGTGAATAGAATACATTTAAGTGATACATTTAAGAAAAACGAAGGCAATCTATTAATCTCAAATCGAACTTGAATAAGTCTATGGACATTTAAATCATTGGCCTCATAAGTGGCCCCATAAGGTTTAATCCTTCCAGCGTTGATCATCAGAACTTCTCTTACGGTCACTCAACCCACCGGATCTAGGGTTTTAGCCTTTCTCATATCTTTCACTCTAAAATATTTCCCCGAACAACTTCACTTCAATTTTCTCTTTCCTACCAAGCTATGGAGTCCAGAGAACCCGACACCAACTACGAGGCCGAGGTTAACGACGACATCAACGATAATCCTTCCTCCCATCACAACGGTGATGATGACGATAGGTCTCAGCCTCTTACTGGCGATGGCGCTAGTCCTGGGTTAGTCCTTTTTTTTCTCTACTTTTATGAAATCAAACAAACATTGAATAGTTTAATTGATATGAGTTTTTTTTTTTCTTAGTTGATTGAATTTTTAGTGTTTGTTTGAGTATGCAATTTGAAAGATGTTGAGTAGCTGATTTGTTACGAATTTGATTTCTTGGGAAGTAAATTTTAGGGTTATTCGAAGTAAGAGGACTAGAAAGTTTGTAGTTTCCAGTATATTTGTTTGATTGATTTCTTTTTTAATTTGTTCGGCCCGAATAATTAGTTGTCCGCTCATTATTCTCTGATTCAAATTATACCCAGAACAGTACTTCATATAACATAATTAATCCAAATTATCAATATTAAATTCGTCTTTAAATTCATATTTGGAAGAAAAAGAGAAGGAAATACTGTTTTTTGACGATCTTGTCATCTGGGATTAGGAAGGGTCGCACAAACTTTTAGAAGAAGTAATAACCAATGATTACCCTGATGGTGGATAGGAGTATTATAATTCAGTGTCTATTTTCCATGTCCGATGCCAGAATTGTGATTTTCTCTGGAGGAACTAGGAAGAAGCAGACTAAGATTTGGTTTTGTTGTAGGTATGCAATTTAAGTAAGTATTGAATAAAGAAAGTGGGTGTAAGATAATGTCGGATAAAGTAATAGAGAAAATGTAAAAAGGTGGGGTTTGTGTAAGAGAAAAGTGAATACAGCAAGAGAGTGTGTGGAAAGGTGTAATTGACATAGAAATAGAGGCATAAGATGGTAAAACGGTAAGACAAACTTAGAATAAAGCAATGTGAGTGAACTAAAAAGAACGGACTAAAATGAAAGTGAGTGCAAAAAAGAGCCGAAGGAGTAGTTTGAAAGCTCGCTCATTTATAAGTAATCCCCCACCCAACCAATTGTTTCTTTTCAGTTATGCAGACAATCATTATGAATCGAGGACATGGATAAGGAAAGAAAATGCTGATGTCGAGAAGTGTTTACTTTGAAACTATGAAAGGTGTTGTATATTTTAAAACACTTTAAAGATTTAGATAAGGATGGGGACTTGGAGCTGGTTCTCAAAAAAAAAAAACAAAAGTTTTAAGGGATAATAATCTGATTTATAAGTTTCCTCTTAAGAGGGCTACCTTTCTAGTAACCCCCCACACCCCCCCATCATTTTTCTTATAATTTTTTTTTATTATGTCTACATGGCTTATGGTTGTGGTAGGAATGGTTTGTTTACTGTGCTTTATGACTTACTGGTGTGTGGTGTCTAGTAGGTACAAGATTCTAATTCTAGTAAACATGTAATTGCAGAAAGATATTCATAGGAGGTTTAGCTAGAGAAACAACTGCTGGTTAGTTCTTTGTTATCTTCTGTTCTTGCTATATACACTTAGGATGCAAGGTTGCTAATGTGAATGATTTTCAATCAAAATATTCTTGTAGCGCAATTTGTCAAGCATTTTGGCAAGTATGGTGAAATCACAGATTCTGTAATAATGAAGGATCGGAGGACGGGTCAACCACGTGGATTTGGCTTCATCACTTATGCAGATCCTGCTGTGGTGGATGCAGTCATTCAGGATACTCACATTCTAAACGGAAAACAAGTATGTTAAGTCCTGCATGCTTCTGTGGTCATAATTTTTTGCAAAAATGTTGTAAAGAAGAGAAAGATATATGATTAGGATTAAGAATTGAGGAATTGAATGCTGATCTCCTATGTTAAATATGATCCTGTACATACAAAGATTAATCAATATATACTCAATTAGTTCAAATATATTGTAGATCTTTTTAAGCATATTGGTCCTCTCCTTTCCTTGGAACTTTTCTAAATTGTTTGTAGTATATTTAAAGTTATTTTGGTAAAATATTGTACACTTCTCCATAATACTCGATAAAATCTGTCATTTAAACAATTTAATAGTTAGAATTATGTGAAGTATAATTGCTACAGTTCTAATTAATTTGCTTGGTAATGAATACAAAATGAATGTCAATCTTCTGATAATGTAGAGATCATCTTTACAAGAATAGGTTTGTTTCTCATTTTTTTTTACTTTTGTAAATTCTGTAGGTTGAAATCAAGCGGACAATACCGAAGGGTGCAATTGGCTCAAAGGATTTCAAAACAAAAAAAATATTTGTTGGCGGAATTCCTACATCAGTGAATGAAGGTCAGGTCACTCTCAATTGCATTTTTATCCACTTTTATCTCGATTGATTCAATTAATAGGGAATCTGATACCGAGGCTTTTTGTTGTATTTAAACAAATTGCAGATGAGTTCAGTGATTTCTTTTCCACATTTGGTGTGGTAAAAGAGCACCAAATAATGCGGGACCATGCTTCTAATCGTTCCCGAGGCTTTGGATTTGTTACTTTTGATTCAGAAGAAGCTGTTGATGAACTTTTGTCAAAGGGAAACCGGATAGAGTTTGCTGGAACTAAGGTACTATCTTTAGCTAGGCAACTGGTATCATTGGAGGTTTTTTTTTCAAACTGAAAGTTGGCTTGCTAAAATGTTACTTTTATATCGTTGGGTATATTGGAAAATATTAAATTGCGTATTGTTGAAGCGAATTTGGGATTTTCATCAACTTCTTTGGTTTTGGTTAACCGTGACTTACCTTATTGATGATACTCGAGGACTTAGTTTTTTTGTATTGTCTGAATCATTCTTTACTCGTCTGTGAAACTCTAGTGGTCATTTGGTTTACCAAAGTAAAAACTTAGGAAGTACAACTTTGTATAGTATTAAAAACTTTAGTTGTTTTGGCGTGCAAACATCCAAGTAATAATTATGTGAAGTACTTTGAGGTCCTCACATAATGGGATATGTTTTTCTTAACTCTTGGAATCTTGAAACTTTTTATAGTTCTCGTAGTTAACTCAAATGGGAATTTCCCTTGGGAATTGCAATTTTTTATCAAATCCAACCAAGCTACCCCTTAGGTAGTGTTCTCTTCACCTAAACTTCAATTGTATTATCTTATATGAATTTATTAGCTATGAACTTGTCTTATCTAAACCTATTAGTCCTAAACTTACATAAACTTAATAGTCCTAAACATATATGAACTTAGTAGTCCTAAACTTACTTGAACTTATTATTCCTTTACTTAACTCATATAAATTTATTAGCTTTGAACTTATCTGATTTGAACTAGGGGTGTTTATAATTACTCGGCCTGCAATACCCGACCGCATCTTTGAAAAAGCGGGGACTTAAGAACCTGTTACTTTTAAATTCCTTTGGTTTTGTCAATTGGCAGCTTTTTAGTTTAGGGTTTTCACTTGCTTCCCTCTCTCTGCAGCCAAGGAAGCACGTTTCTTTTGTGCCTCTCACCACAAGCCCATCCTTACTTAAGTAAATACTTAGAAAAACCCTCTCTTTCATTCTTATTAGTAGGGTTAATCAATTGTCAATCAATTTGTATCTTGTTTTACCTTTACTTTTGAATAAGCTAATGAAAAATTTGAAAAAGAAATTATTTTATGGAATAAGCTCTTTGATTCAGCTTTCCACCTAACACTCCAAATTAGCTTATTTAGTAGTCAATAAGAATGGGTCAAATAAGCTAATTTTACCCAATAAGATATCTTCCAAACACAGCCATACTCATTTGGAGTCTTGTTTATGCTTTAAGAATATTAAACTTAATATGTTGTAGTTTTACCAATACGTAATATAGAGGGTTTTCAATGTTAGAGATTTACATTGGCAAATGCGCGTAAACAAAGTAGGGAGAACTTTTGACGCAGGGAGTACTAATTTTATTTACATAAGAGATTTTGTTAGCATCGACCTTTTTAGCCTTGTGCTTTATTAATTTTACTAGCCCTGAACTTTATTTTATTACCAAGGAACTAATCTGACCTATTCTGAATTGTATTTATTTGAACTTATTGTCCCTAAGAATCTGAACTTAGTTCCAAAGTTATCTTATTTGATGTTATTAGCCTGACGATTTATTAGCTTGGTACATATTTTGACGAACTTGAAAACATATCTTGTATGAACTTTTAACCCTGAACATATCTTTTGTAATTTATTTTCCTGGATTTAATTAATTAAAACTTATCCTCGAAACTTACAAGTTTGGAACTAAACTTATGTAATTGTATTAGACCTAAAATAAGTGAAAATTGGGTGTGGGGGAATCAGAGGCTTAGTGTGTGTGTGTTATTTTATTTATTTTTTTTTGACAATTAGTTCCGTATCTTTCTTGTTTCCAGGTGGAGATAAAGAAGGCAGAGCCAAAGAAGCCAAATGCCCCCCACCTTTTTCCAAACGCTATAATGATTCAAGGCCTTCCTATGGTGGGGGATTTGGCAACGATGCATATGGTGGTGGGTATGGAGGGGGTGGTTATGGTCCTGCTTCCTATCGAGCTGGCGCAGCATATGGGGCCCGAGCTGGCGGATATGGTGGGTATGGTGGAAGTGAATTTGGCAGTTATGGAGGATATGGTGCAGGTGGAATGGGTGCATATAGGGGTGACCTCTCTTATGGATACTCTGGCCGTTACGGTGGTGGTGGCTATAGTAGAGGTTATGACATGGGTGGTGGTGGTGGATATGGTGGGCCCAGTGAGGGCTATGGGGCTTATGGAGGGGCTGCGGCTGGAAGCGGATATGGAGGAGGCTATGATTCTGCAATGGGAGGTAGCTATGGAGGCAGTAGTGGAGCGTCTTTATATGGCAGTGGCAGTAGCAGTAGAGGAGGATACAGTGGAGCAGCAGCAAATGGGCGTTATCATCCATACTCCAGGTAGCAAGATGGTAGAAGAAAGGGTGTTATGGTTCCCTGGATAAAATCCCTCAAAAGGACTGCCTTTGCTTCTGCTAGTTTGATGTATTCTGTTTGCTTTTCACTTTAGTTTTTGTTTGGCATTATATGATAGGAAACCTGAGCTCTTGTACTGATGGAGGCCAATTTGTTCATTGTACCAATGAGTTGATATTTCATTCATGGAGATTATAATTTACTTAAATTTTACTTGCTAGCTTATGAAGCATTCTTCCTGTCAGATTTTTAATGTATTTATGCCTTGCCACGTTTATACCAGTATGACTGGAACGGCGACGGAACGTGTGCCCAATGCAAAACTTTGATCAATGATATTTATAATTTTGAATAACCATCAATATTGACATGGACTCATATACATTACATCTATATAGCATGAAAAGGGTGTCAACGAACACCATCGATAACACAGGGAACTTAAGGAGTGCCACAAAGTAGCAAATACGTATTGTTCAATCTATACAATGATAACACAAGGAACTTAATGAGTGCCGCAAAGTAGCAAATACATTATTGTTCAATCTATACAAATATAGACAAAACACTACCAATTATTCTAGCTAGTGGTCCATAAATACTAGCCATTCTAAGCAACCCATAATCACATCAAATAACAAGCATTTGTGACACAATTCGTACAAAATCCAATCACTCGGTAAAAATAGCAAACAAATAATTATACATTACAAATATATGATAATGAGAAAATCCAAGTAAATATCTGTAATAAATTTGGATTGTTTATCTCATGGCAATTTCGTAATAAAATAGCATTAAAGTCCGTAGACAATAAACAGTTGTTTTACCTACAAAAGTTCTGACATTATGCCAACTTGCATAATAAAGTACATCAACGGAGCCTGGTAACGTTATTCTTAGATCCGTGAGTGCTTAACCCACGGTAACTCAAGGTGAGTTAGGCTTTTACCTCCAGTAAAAGTTAAAAACTCCCCTGTAATATTATCTTGTCATCTTCGTCATAAGAGAGAAACAGAAAAGCTCATAAAGTTCATGACATTTCAAGCTTGCTAGATCTGTCTAGCGGTGGTTGCTAGATCTGTCAAGCGCTGGTTGCTAAATCTGTCAATTTCTGGTGTGCAGTTGCCGATAGTTGTTTCGTATGAGGTATGTTTTCGATTTTTGAGTTTTGTAGATAGTTGTTTCCAGATTCATACGGTGCTTGATGTGATTTGTTATGTTCAGAATTTTGATTTTCCTGGGAACCAAGCTTAGTGTTGTGACGAATTACTGTGTTTGTAGTTAATTCTGGGAAACTGATTAAAATTGGATTATAATTAGCGTAATGTGATTTGTTATGTTCAGAATTTTGATTTTCCTGGGAACCAAGCTTAGTGGTGTGACAAATTATTTTGTTTCTAGTTAATTCTGGGAAACTGATTGAAATTCGATTATAATTAGTAGCTGCTCACTGCTCAATGTGGCTGATTATTTGTAATTTTGATTACACTGATTAGAATAGTGACTGTTTTGTTTAGAATGTTGATTTAACTAAGTAAATTGGTTACATCGTACTTGGTCTATTTCTTTGTATCTGAATTTTGATGTTGTTTGGAAGTGCTAGTGTTAAGGTTGTCAGTCTTATGTAATTTATGGAGTAATTTGGTGTGTTTGGTTACATTTGGGAACTGGTTTTTGCTTTGTTTTTGTTCAGATGTCTTTGAATAAAGAAAATGATGGATCTGATAATTGTATGGTAAACTTGAGTGAAGTAAATTGTGTTAGCTTGGATGACGATATGAATGACCCAGACATAGCTATGGATTAATTTCCTGGGCGTTCTGATTATGAATATATGGATGCTGTGGAGGGTATGGGAATGTAGTTGACTCTAAGTTCCCCAGGGGTAATTCCTTGTGGTGCTCAGGTAGTGTATAATTCCCTAATCTAGACTGTCCATACTGTGCAGACCGTGGAAACTGTTGTGTCCACAAACAATGCAGTGCCTCATTTAGTAGAACCACCGAAGGAGGGTATGGTATTCAAAAGCTGGCAGGACATTGAGGTCTACTTTAAACAATATGCACAACAGCATGGTTTTGGTGTAAGTAGGGTTCAAGGTGCATATAATACGAAAATCAAAGAGCGTAGGGCCACTGCGTGGAGGTGTGAATGCTGGGGTGCGCCGGACATGAGGGCACAAAGGGAGGCAAAGAAGAGGGCGACGGCCATGGATGTTGGTGGAACCAGGGGCAATGTTAATGGTGTGATAGGGCAAGATGAGCTGAAACAAGGCAAGAGAAAATCCAAAAAGTGTCAATGTGAAGCAAATACTTACGCTAGTATTAATGGCAAAGATGAGTGGGTGTTAAGATCTGTGGACCTTACACATACTGGCCATAACCCCACCCCTAGCAAGGCAAATCTGGTGAAAGAGTATCGAATGCAGCATTATACTTCATCGGTTCGTAAAAGGCTTTTGAACTATTACGAGGAGGGTGTTCCTATTTCTCAAATTCATGGGTTCTTATCCCATGCAAAGGACAAATTGCCTAATGTAAAGGATTTGCAACATGAGGTGTACAAGGAGAGGAGATTGAAAATGGAGGGTGGGGACGCTGTAGCTATGATGAGGTATTTCGAAAAGATGCCAGCTGACAACCAAAACTTTTACCATGCTCATCGTCTGGATGAACAAGGTCGGCTTAAGGATGTGCTTTGGGTGGATGCAAGGAGCCGGGCTGCTTACGAGCACAATGGGACGTTGTACGCTTTGATGCGACGTATTTGATGAACGAGTACGAGCTCCCTTTTGCAAACTTTGTCGGCATCAATCATCATGGACAATCAATTCTATTGGAGTGTGCCCTTGTGTCGCATGAGACCTGTGAAACCTACACTTGGGTCTCTAAACAATGGCAAGCATGTATGAGGAACTGCCCGCCATTAGGAATGCTTACCGACCAAGCAGCTGTAATGAGGAAACCACTTGCTGAAATTATGCCTTCATCTCGACATAGGTGGTGCATATGGCACATAATGAAGAAGTTTCCTGAGAAGCTTGGCAAATGTAAGTTGTAAGTGATTTATTTGCCATTGTGTTCTTTATGCAAATGCAGGTATTAGTAGCGTGTGTTCTTATGGATATGAGTCATATGTAGTACTTTCTGTTGCTTCCTCAGAAGCTTTGTTCTGTTTAATATGTTTGACCCTATTCTGTACTTTATGGCCATAATATCCAGTTGCGAAATTGACAGAGTGGTTTCATATGTCTGACATCAGTGTGTACTGTATGGACATAATATTCAGTATCTCACATTGACAGAGTGGGTTATGTTTACTTAATGGACATAATGTAAAGTAATATGGTTGCGAAGTTAGTTTCAAAATCTATTCTGCCTATATCAGTTCATCATTTGGTTCATGTTTAATCAAATTTTCAACTGCAGATTAGTCATATGTACTCATGTCTGCTGTCTAAGTTTGTTACAGAATGTGTTCTGCATATAGCTGTACAGCCTATTATTATGTTATGATTTGGTCTGTGGTATTATTGTTAGGTACAATGAATTCAAAAGTCCTCTTAAGGCTCTCATATACGAAAGCTTTACTGTGGAGGAATTTGAGAGCCGGTGCTGTGCGTTCATTAAGCAATACCAACTTGAAGAAAATGAGTGGCTTACAGAATTTTCAATGAGCGGCATATGTGGGTTTCTCCTTCATGAAGGAGTACTTCTGGGCTGGTATGAAGACCACCCAAAGGGTGGAAAGCATTAACAGTTTTTTTGATGGGTTTGTGAACCGCAAGACTAAACTTTATGAGTTTCCCCAAAGTACACCAGAGCAATGACTAAACGTGTCAAAGATGAAACTGACGCAGATGCAAAATCAACAAAGTATGTTCGAAGGTTGGTGAGTGGGTTTAAGGTTGAGAGACTTTATCAGAAATTTATATTGATGCCAAATTCCAAGAGATTCAAAAGGAATTGTCGAGGATGATGTATTGCTATGGGCAGGAGGAAAGAGTTATTGATGAAAATAATGTCCATTATTACCTTGAGGATCGAGTGTGGGTGGTTCTGGAAGGACGGAGTTAAGAGGTTATAACCGATAGAAGGCGCATGTATTGTGTTAGGTTCAACCGAGTGTCCAAAGAAGTGAGCTGCGATTGCTGTAAATTTGAAACGTTTGGGATCTTTTGCAAGCATTGCATACGTATCCTAGATCAAAATCTAGTGTTTGATATACCGGAGAAGTATATTTTGGACCGTGGCGCAAGGATGTAGTAAGAAAGCACACTCGGGTCAAGGTTGCCTACCACGATCCATCCGACACAATGGAGGTTCAAAGGTTCAATAGGATAATGACTAAGTTCAAACCTATTTGTGATGAAGCTTCAATGGTTGATGATGATACAGTTGACATGGTTCTGTCCACTTTGTCCAAGCTCAGGATTGATGTCAGTGATCGGCGGAAGAAGTTTATTGAAGCAAATGGTGTTCTGACCCTCCCTAGTACACAATATCCCACATCTGGGAAAGGTTCCACTAGTAACGCTATAACTCCATCTTCAGAGAGAAAACGAATTCCCACACATACTCCCGAGGGTGTGGACTTGGTTGATCCCGATGATGATGTACCTGACCAAGTGGTTAGCCAGCCTAAAGCTGTACCTCAAATTAGCCAGCAATTACTTGACCCAAATACCAACAAAAGGCCTCGAGGGAGGCCTAAAGGATCTCGCAACAAACCCTTATCAGAGACAGGCTACAAAACCACAAACAAGAAACAGGTACACAGTTGTTCTTCATTGAAATGTAAGCTTTTACATTTCACTTAATTTTGTTTTCAACTCATAATATTATGCCTATTCCTGTTGTGGAAGGGGAAGGATGTGCAGCCTACAGATGCAGATATGGACATGGATTTACCTATGAGAGATGTGCTTCCAAGCCTTGCTGCTCCGAAACTCGTGCCGGCTAAGGTTGTTAAATTGTCATTGTTATTCCAGTCTATAAAATGCTGTTACAACCTAAAGTTGGAGCTTATGCTGTACTCTGTCAACTTTGGTACTCTGTGAAGCAGTAGTTGATGTCGTACTGTGTTCTTTCCAAAGGAAGAAAAAAACCAAGAGACAGTGCAAGAACAATGGTTTGAAATTGGCTACGTGCCGTGAAGATGTTTCAATGGAATTCTAAGGACAACCTGGTTGCATGGTGATTAAGAAGAACTGTGTGCTTCGTTGTCGAGACTTTGTGTTATGTAATGTATGATATTTTCAGGACATTCATACTGCCGTGGTATTGTGGAGACTTAGTCTTATGTAATGTATGTTATTTTCAGGACATTCGTACTGTCGTGGTATTGTTCACCCCTCTTATCGGTTCCGTAACAGTTTAGGTGCAATTTGTTTGCTTCTATGACTGATGAACACCTTTTAGGACCTTTAATCTTAGTGTGGTATATGTGAATTGTAACATTCTAATGTCGAGCTGATAGTTAATTGATTTGTGAAAGGGTGGGTTGGCCCTGGTTAGTTTTATTGGGCTGGCCCTGTTATGTTTTACTGGGCTGGCCTTGGTAAGCTATATTGGGCTGGCCCTGGTATGTTTTATTGGGCTGGCCCTGGTATGTTTTATTGGGTTGGTCTTGGTATTTGTTATTGGGCTGGCCCTGGTATGTTTCTTTGATGCTGAATATGCTATTCACCCTTCTTCACATAAATTGGTTCTTGGCCTGTACTATTTACCTTGTCAGTGAAAGGTGAAATTAATGGGCTGGGCCATTGGCATTGTTCTTCACTTTCAAAAGCGTTACATAATTTTCTGTTCTTCACTTTCAGAAGCGTTACATAATTTTATGGTCATATGTCTTTTATTTCTGGATTTTTTTTTAAAAATTGCGAAAACTCACAAAGTAGTACACATTGTGATTTAATGATTTGAACCGGTCGAATAAGTGTAGACACCTAAAAATATCTCCCCAAAACCAAACCCGATGATGAATAACCTTTCACCGCCATTATTGGGCGGGCCGACTATTTAATCTCGGGAGTCCTTAAAATCCATGTTTAGTCAAACATAGCTTACAAAACAGTCAACAGATCAGTCCTAATGTTTAGTCAAAGCATAGTCCAACTCATATCCTAGCTCAAACCCTTTTAATTCATTTCGTGTTATTTATTAATTAAGCCCGATTAATAAATAATAAAAACCCTAAGCCTGAAATTAATCCGGAATAGTTGAAACGGCGCACAATATATCACATACTTAATAATTAAGCAAGGAATAAATGAATCTGGACTGTTTTCAGAAAAAACATGTGCACTGTGTCACGGCAGACACACCGCGTCACGGTATTTCGCGCCGTGTCGCGGTATATTGCACCGTGTCACAGTATTTTTCTAGGGTTTCTCTGCGGCGCCTTTTCACTTCTAGGGTTCCGTGCTTCAAACCTCACATTTCTCTATAAATACGAGGCTGATTTATCCAGTTTCGGTGCACCAACAATCATTCTCTTCTCTCTTTAGCCTAAACACTAGCCACCCTATTCTCTCATAATACTTCCCCTAAGCACTCTAAGGAGTCCATACTTGACCCGAAGTTCTATACTTAAACCAAGGCGTGAAAGGTAGAATTAACTGAGGGTTTGGACCAAATCAACTCTACTTTTCCTTTAATTTAATTCAATTTGATTTATCATTTATTGAAGTTACTAACAATTTATTCATGATGTAGCAATTCAAGGAAACGCGGAATGTGAGTAGTTAATTCACTTAATTACTCTTTTTATTATTCTTGTTGCTAGTATCATGATTAGGTTTATCGTTTTTTGAGTTGGCTAACGTTATTATGGTTAAATTGCTTTCAATGTTGATGTTGATTCTATTATATTTATTGATCACCGTATTGCATGTTTAAAGGTGATACATAATTGAACATCACGCCTAATAAGATAATTTGGATGACCGGTTTAGGTTCCTTTTTAATTTTGTTGTTTACTCGAAGTGATCACGATATTATAGAATTATATATTGCATTAACATTAAACCAATTTAGCTTAATATTAGTTTGGAGCATATTGAATCTTTGTTTGCATGCCTTTGAGATCGCAGGAATCACTTTTCACAAAAAGAATCGAGTAGAGGCCAATACGGGCGAATGTGACTCTATGACTCACTTCGTACCATCATCCCCGATCCTCCTTTCGTGGTTCTGAAATATATGGAGTTAGTAATCTCATGAATTATGAATGGGGTGTAACCTTCATGGGTCAATCGTTGTTGCCTATCGTTGTCTCTTATTCGTGGTTGCCTTAAATGATCCGTGAACGGTTTACAATTTCCTTAAAAACTTGTTGGCGGCTCCCTACTTTTCTTTGTCCCAAATCGATTCCCCTTCCTATGAGTGCCAAGCATATTCACAACATGCTAAAGTAGGCGCGATTCAAATGACGCCTACAATAAGGTTATTATCTTGTTTAAAAGGGCTTGAGCCATTACGTTTCAATTACTTGTTATTAGATCGAAATTTCCTTTTTAGTTAGACATTTGCAAATTTAAAGCATTTCAACTCTCAAAAGTTAAACAACACATATATTTTCACACATTATTAAAGAACAACCACAAACATTACATAGGTTTTTAAACACGTCTAATAACATACTCGAATCTCACAAATACTACTAAGGATTCAAAGACATAGGACACAACTACACATAAGCTTAGAACTAATAACTTGAAACCTGATTTAACACAAGTGCACGACACTAATCATATTTTAGACTACAGCCTTAGACATCTGGGCGTACATAAATCTACCTACAACTGCTGTTCCATTCCACATATCCCATACAGAATTCCAAGTTACTCATTGTCAGAGTCACGAACACAACGATGGTAGCGGACATTAGGAAGGGCATAGACAACCCCTTTGTTTCGAATTTTGGCAGAAGCAATTGTTTGACTTGGGCTCAAAACACGACATTGATTCATCAACATCACCTTCTTAGGGTCAAAGTTGAAAACATCACCCCACATGTGGTAGATGTTGCTCAGCTTTGTGTCAAGGCAGCCTTCAATCTTCAATTTTCTTGGGTTGTCGCTCACATCGGCAATGTAGAACTTCTTAATCCATGCATCCATGTTAGCTTCCGAATTCTACAATATTTTTACCAATATTAGCACAATTCATGGCATACATTAATAGACATAATTTATTTATTTATTTATTTTTATTTTTTATTTTATTTTATTTTATTTTATTTTATTTTTTTTACAGTAAATAGCTCATAAACCTTGTGACTTGCGTGGAGCATATCTCCATGCTTGAGCCCAACGTAGCATGCAATGTCGAGTGGAGAGATAACCACTCTAGTCCTTGAATTGGTCAAGAACATGTCCTTGACACGACAGTCGACTTTGTTAGCATAATCTTCGTATATTTCCTTCAAGGTCTGGTTCCCAATGATGGCGTACATAACTCCAAGGTCACCGTCGTTGTTGCTAGAAACAACGAGGTAGTGGACGTTGAATCACCTAATCTTAAGTTTGTAGCCATCGTCCAACTTGAGGATTGAATTCTGACTACACTTCACTGGTGCAAGTAGGTCTGCCTCATTTGGAACATCATTAAGCTCAACAATGACATCTTCAAGGATATTGTTGGCACAACAGTTCGCTATGCGGCCTGCAAACATCTGGCCACTCAATTTCAGCACAGTGCATCTTGGTACGTTGTACTACATGTCGGCTGGTACAGTGTCAAGCAGTGCACCAAAAGCATTGTTCCTAAAGGTTGTCCTCAAAAGACGGTTGGCTTTTTTCCCACCCTTTTTTTTGGGTGGTGGAAGTGCAGGAGATCCATTGGATGATGATCCATTAGATGAGGATGCGTAGGACTTGCTGGAGAATGGGTTGGCTTAAGGGAGGTCTTCATTTTCGTGCAGTGATAATTATTTGGTTCTCTTTGTACGCATTTAGCTAATACAACATGCCTCTATTTATAATATAAGTCCCATTAGGGTTTACCCCGGACTTTGTTTTTGACTTATATTTTATTTTTAAATATTTGATGTGCTTTTATTATTTGATTGGTTTATTTTTCGAAATAACTTTTATTATGATTTAGGAATCATAGATGAAATTATTTCAAGTTTGAGTATTAATGAATTTCGCGTCCTTTATACTACCGGGTACACTAACGAAAATTACATATAAATTAATATTTTTTTAAACAAAAGAGTCACTCTTAACATGCCTAATTTTTTGTAATACTTTCTTGTCTACGTAGTTCGCTTAACAATAGAGCACATTAGTGTTCGATGTTAAAATGATTCAATGAGATCTTGTACATAAGAACTTTTTTATTTAAACACTTAGCCAATATACAATACAGAGTAATTCACCTTATTATATTCGAAATGTATGAATCGATATATATATGACATACATTGTAAGTTTTAATATCTTAAACATATATCTACTTACGAAATGTCGATGAATTTCCAAAAACAAAATTGAAGATTAATTTCTGAAATTGCTTCTGTCTTAAGACACAATTGGTTGGGAACTAACTTTGAAATTTTTTTTAATTATATGTACATCAAGATTAATCACTAAAATTATTTATATTTACAAAACAACTTTACGTAACAATTTTACTGTGGTACTCGTGCCAGATTTGTAACACTCTTATGTAATTAATATGAACATCAATTTGATGCTACATCACTGTGCAAATCTTGCTAAATGTGTTTTATTAGTTAGTAACCCAAACAATTACTCATATTGTCAAGGTAAATTTCAAAATTTAAATCAATATCTTGGTTCAATGATGGCAAATCTGTTAGCTGCAACTTGCTTCACGGTTTTACAGCCTCCTTTTGTGCTAACATATAAATATGAGAAACCCTTCATGTTTTGACCTTAACTTCTTGGGTTTACTTCTACTTTGCATAGTTTTGGCTTTATTAGAATGTAAATACTCCTTACCTACGCATACCTATATTCCATCCTACTTTGCATACTTTGTGATATAAGGTTTGGAACATCACTTAATCTGCTTTTGATGATAGCCATGCCAATTCGGTGATAAGGTTCATGTTATCAGTAGCGCGTGGTTTTATTTTGAGTATGGGATTAAAAAAAATTAGTTTTGATTAATTGTGGTTGGAAAATCAGTAACACATGTCAAGTGTTTATGTAATTTAACTACAAAAGAATGATTAATTTGTTGTATAAAATTATTTCACTATAAAAAACAAAAGGATTCGCAATTTTTTCCCATAATTATATAATTGGAATGCGACACATTCAAAATAAATGTTCGGAGGTTACACTTGTAACGA